GTCAACAGCAATTGTTGATTTCCAAAAGGGGCGTCATAACTATGAAAAAAGTACAATTACAAATAAAGAAGAAAGAGATAAGATAAAAGCATAGCTATATACAAGAGATTAAGTTGGAGTGACCCGGTCGTATATAAGACCCACAGTTGATTTTATCTACCTATTAAGGTGGCTCGATACAATTTTTCGAAATTTTTAGATGCACATTTTAAACAGGGATATTAAGCACCTAAATACTTCACTATAAGGCTAAAAGTTAATATACTTTGCAGGAGACATATCTAGAGCGGATATATTCTCAGAATTTTTGCCTGGCACCCGTTACCATGGCAACAGAGACGTTTCAAAATGGCCGCCAAACAGGGTTTAATCGTGTTTATATCACAAACGAGTTCGGTGACCCCCAATTTTTTTTTCATTAAACGTTTACGCCATAAATGCTTTATCTATAAAAAAGTTTTAAAAAAATTCTAACATTGGGAATTTTTTCTATTTACAAAAACGTTATTTTTGCTTATTAAAAAATTCCCCCATGTTAGAATTTTTTTAAAACTTTTTCATAGATAAATAATCTATAGCGTAAACGTTTAATGCAAAAAAAAGTGGGGGTCACCGAACTCGTTTGAGATATAAACACGATAAAACCTTGTTTGGCGGCCATTTTGAAACGTCTCTGTTTCCATGGTAACGGGTGCCAGGCAAAAGTTCTGAGAATATTCCCGCTCTATATATGTTTCCTGCAAAGTATATTAACTTTTAGCCTTATAGTGAAATATTTAGGTGCTTAATATCCCTGTTTAAAATGAGCCCAAAAAAAATTCGAGAAACTGTATCGAGCCACCTTAAGTCGCGCTACAAAATATTTGAAAGAGTAACCGGGCTCATGTAAACAGCCCCTCAGATTCTTAAGGTCGTAGGCGACCCAGACGTGGTTCTGGAGCGCCTAAATTGATAAGAGTTCTATATTCAGCTCAACAACACATGCACGTTCGGCCTAAATTAAGTTGGATTTTGATGAAACCTTGGTGTTTCGAGACGACCTCAAATGTTTGGTTTCCGTTGCAGACAGAGCGTGGCAGCATTTTAAACCGTCTCGATTCAACAGTTGTTTCTTTTATGTCTCGAAATTTATTGTTTACTAGCCGTCGTCATTGCATGGACTTGCTTGTTTCATAGTAAATGAGTAATGAAAAGTCAATTTTAAGGATTATCTTGGTTTCGTTTGCATTCGCCTTCGTTCCGGCCTCGTTTGTTTGCTTGTGATATATATGTATTTCCGTTCAATTAAAATTCCCTTCAGTGCCTGTCATGTGACTATACATACAGTATTAAATGACTACAATTTTGATGCGAATAACTCATACAGAGAACACTAAATGTAGCCTACATTATTAACTTCATCCACCTAATCTAAAATATAAAATCATGCATTTCATATTTTTATTTGTTCAGCTTCCAGGGTTTTTTAAAAGTAAGGAATATTTAAAACGCAATAGTACATGTATACAAAATTTTGAAGTATCAGGTTTGCATAATGTCAAGTTGGCATATGCCATATAATTTCCGAAATTATTAAGCCTAACCGTTAAGCTGTAACTCAAAACAGTTAGACCTACCTTAACAGTGTACAGAGGGGTATGTATAAACTAATAATAAGATTTTGTCAGTACGTATCGCTGATTCATAACAGGTTTGCATGAATAGGCACTCGGCGTTTGCTATATAATTTCCGAAATAAGTATGACCAAAAATTAAGTAAGTAGAAACAGTTAACTTGGCTTAATAAAATAGAGCGTCCAATATCATACTTGATACTTGCAAATTTACTTGTACTGTGTTAAGTCAGTTTGCTTGTGTTGCGAAATAAGTCTTTCCTACAACACTGCAGGATACCATATATGTGATAATACTCATAATAGTTTCAATTTTACTTCCCAGAACACTTTGCAATTCGCGGAAATCACGTGACCTGCATTATGTCACTAAATCAGGTAAAAATAGGCTTTTTTGGTTAATATATGAGTCTCTTATAAGCTCTCAGCTGTCCGCTCTTGTAGTAATATATCAATCAGTGTATTTTTGCTTCTTGTTATTGCCCGCATGCATGTAAAAACTAATCTTTCCCAATTTCATCAGTTAAGAAAATAACTTCAAAATGTTCAAAATTGCTATGTAGCACTGATTTAAGAGGACTGACTTTCTTTTAACAGGTCTTGTCCCAAAAGCATGTATATTGTAATTCTCTCCAAGAGGAATAGTAGCTAACATGTTGTAGGCTAATGTTAAAGCGCTCTTTTGCGAAAAATAATTCATAATTTTAACAGAAAACGTTGCATTTGCTGTAAAAAAAAGTTGATCAAAACGTTGCCAATACTCAATAGACCTTTTCAGCTTGTATGCAAATTAACCCATTTCAAGTCACATGGTCTGAAATGGTTAAGTTTTATTGCCAATTACATGGTCACAACATCTGAAATGGGTAAATTTGCATGCAAGATGAAAAGTCTATTGGTGTGACATTTAAGAAATAGAAAGCATTTTTCGTTTTTATATACATGCAGTTATAGAAACACGCGTGGGAGTTTGGGAAAAGTCCCCTAAGGGGTTAATTTTCTCGTTATTTCGAGTTCTCCCAAACTCCCACAAATGTTTCTATAACTGTATAAAAACAGAGGAAAACTGTGGCGAGAAAACTCCCGTGTTTCTATACAGTTATAGAAACACGCTTCTTGACCAATCAGCACGCGCGTATTATAAATGTTATATTATAACAAACATTAACACAGCTACCAGATAGATTAGTCATTAAAACTAAAAATTTTTATTGCCACGTCTTAATCTTTCAAGGCCCCCGGCCTTTACGACCCTGGCGTACTAACTCTGGTTGCGAATCCTCAATCTTGTCTCTATATTACAATATATCCATTTCACAGTTTGCTAAATAAATTGTTTTGTCAAGGATCCAAGGCTGCATTACTATCCCACCGGGTTACGGTGATTTAAATGCAAGAGCTACGCGATACTATCCTTCATAGTACAAAATACTATACATTGCATAATTCATCCATGTTTGTATCAACATAAAGTAACATTGCATATTAAAACACGATTTACATTCTTCAGAGTTTAGTGTATACGTATATGAACGATATGTTATACGTTATATACTCTCTCTCTCTATATATGCGCAGTCTTCGAGAATTAAACAAGTTAAACAATTACCTTTATTATATTATATTACATGCTTAGCACAGGCCACGACTTCAGTTCTCTGATCTCACTTCATATGACAATGGGAACATTTTCCTTCTTGTAAATTTTGTTCACGTATTGTCAAAATTGTCCTGCCACACTGCAGGACACCACTTGTGACGATAACTTTCGATTTTACTTCCAAGAACACTCTGTTGTCATACGCGGAAATGGCATCATGAGTGTTTACATATGTCAGCTTTGTGCAGGTTATATACGATATATTTCGGGTCAAATATTTGGAATCTAGGAGTTTTTATGTGTTTTTCGTATCCGAGCATTCGGCTGAGATCTGGACCATCCAAGCGGACAAGGATGTAGTCGGACATAAGCTTAAGAGCAAAAATATACATAATTTAATTTATTCAGCAATAAACCTCCACATGCTGTCACCTGTAAAGAATGTTTATATCTCCAAATATAGAATTATTATTTATCTTGCTTTGTGGCAGCCAAATGTGGTAATTTAAAACACATGGTAAATATTCGGCTTGTGTCGAAATTAAAAATGATACTTCCAAACGCAGCCCTACGTTTGGCAAAGTATATGAGTACGTGCTAAAACGTTAAACTCCACGAGTTAATTGGGAATGCATGCATTCAACATGCATCGACTAAAATTAAAATTATATTTGTTTATTACAATAAAATATACCCCCTCATATATTGCAGGTATTCGTAGTTTTTTAGCTAATTGTCGTTATATCTTGCGTCACTGATGATACTTAAAGATGATATAATCGATATCGTAAATTACGGGAACCACTGAGTATTTTAATAAAATATAAAACAATAGAAACTGCGTAAAAGGTAAACATTTTGAAAAATATAATTTTCGGAGTTTCTATTGTTTTATAATGATCGTGCATTGATATGTATTCAAAATTATAAGACGAATAGCAAATTATAAAATAATTACCACAAACGCTCCAATTAAATTATTGAAAAACAGACTAGAATTTATAGGCTCCGGCATACACAATAGCTGGATGCGATTCGCCAACGCGACGCGAACTATCAAGAGTTTCATGATTTTGAAACTGAAAAATTCGCAAAAATCGCGTCGCATTGCGGGATCGCGTCCGATGTGTGTCTGCCTTAAGTCGATGTTTGATCAGAATGCCTTAACATTATTTGCAGAAATATTCTCGCCAAACATTATTACAATCGCCTTCTCGATGTATTAAGGTTTTGTTATAAACCAAACAACGTTCAACATCAACTCGTAACGTAACAATGTTTTGAAAAAGGCTAAAAGGTTTACCCGTCGAATATGATATATATATATATATAAGCTAGTTTGTAACACAGAAATTGTTTTGGAAATAAGTTGAATATTTTTGAACTGTTTTTATTCCACACAACATTGTTGTTTAGATTTTTCCTTATTGTTGCGTTGCGAGTTGATGTTGAAAATTGTTTCGTGTAACATTACCTTTAATACACTCTTGTAAGAGTTGGTGATGTTAACTAACCAAAGTGAAAAAACAACTAATATTTCTTATAAAAACTCAGACGTAGTTTTGGACAAGAATGTTTCGGGTGTTTTTTTATTATAAACAGCGGTTGATATAACTTTTCGTGATCAAAATTATAAAACTACATGAGGTGGAATAAAATTTTTCAACTTTTTGTCACGAAATATGAAAATTATTCTTCAGCTATATATTGGTATTAACAAGTTATGGGTAATGGCTTAATATGATAGGAAATTCATTTGCATTCTGACAATAGAGTGAAATGACGACTGTATTAACTATAATAATTATGCGGGTAGACGCTTCACACCGCGATAAGGGAAGACAATTTAGTTAACATTGAACAAAGTCGACTTAGCGCAACAAGTCGCCTACGTGCCAATTAACGTACGTAAACGTATTGAGTGACAATTTTCTCCAAGCATGCATGCTATCCCTCTACCTTAAGCATTTAACTACTTTTCTACTTAGGTTAATTTTGAGTGTCATTAGTGTATCTGCGTGTTATATGTATCCTTTACCTATAAGGCCTACAATAGTGTTTTGCAGAGGACTATAGTTTCTAGCATTCCCCGCGGACAAGTTTTTTAAACTGAACACCTGCCATCCACTTCCTCTGTTGGTCAAACAACACATGATGATTGCTTGAGAATAGGCAGCATGACTCATTTTATCGTCGCACAGTTGTTTGTTAGGAGACTTCGCATCGAAGAATCGTAGGCTTGGATTAGGATATTTGGAAATATTTGGAGAACTCCAAGCGCTCAAGGTGAACACCAGCTTATTGATATGAGCTGGTATTGATTTAATTGACACATTTATGGTGTGATGACCCAATCGCTTGGCATCATCCATCACATCGCCGGAATGTCTGACAGCCGAGCAGGATTTACTTTGCCTGTGGCAATAATCAACTACCTCTACAAATGTAGAGCCTCTATAAAGCAATACAGAAGCGTCCAGGTAGTCGCGCCCTCTTGATGGATATCCCCAGAAGAGATCAAAGATGACATGATCAAATCCATCTGGTATCGCATACAACAGGACGAGAAGGTATATTGTGCTGTTGGGAGGAACGTTGTAATCTTTTAACTTGAGAACTTCGTTATTTTTCCCTCTTGGCTGAAGAGAAAGCAAAGAATACGGAGCACGAGTCAGGACGAGCTAATCCACTGTTTTAATCATAGCTGACTTTCTCATTAAAATTAATTATGTAATCCGAGTTGTCATGCAATAGTAATATAACAAGACGCCTGCTAAGGCGTTTACTCGGGCTACAGTTATCTCGTTTGAGCTTGTAAGTTTGTAACGCCTCATTTTCATTGAGTACATATTCAGTGAGTTTATGTTTTCATTGAGTAGATAGTATCAAGCATACAAGTATTCACAGCTGGTTTCCTCGGAATGACGCTGAACAATTTGTTTTGAAATTGCTCGGCTTGAAATCGCTCGACGTGTGTACTTACAAGCAACATCGTTGAATCCCAAATTAAGACAACAGTCCAACGGAAACACACAAAATCTCGTAAAAATAAAATACTGTAAGATTTACAGAGCGAAGAGGTTCGTTGTATAAACAACAGTCACATGGCCGCAGCACATGGAATGTTCGTGACACCCACGCGAGAATCTATCCTAGGATGATTTCGATTGGTTCGAAGACTTCGTGCCGCCCACGCGTGATTTTTGTAAACTCGCGACGCAAAAGAAAAAAACGAGCCCATTTTACAACTCGGTCCACCCACGGTAGCCCGAGTAATTAAAAAAAATTTCGTCAATAATATCCCAGGTTAGTATTTGATTCAAGGCCTTCCTGGAGTACGAAGGAATAATTTCTTACACCTAAGAAATTTTTATTCCTTGTTCGTTTTGTTTAGTGCAAATCAGAAAATATATTAAGATATTAGGGTAATAAGCAGAAAGAAATACCTTCAACTCAGTATCGTTGTACAGCAAGCATTGCTTGTTGCAAGGGGTTTTCAATTCTTTCTCCACCACATCTTTCAAACTGCGAATAGTTTGATCAGGGTTATAAACACGAGTCGTGCTGTCACCAGAAAGAGTGGTTATAACAATGTGAGACATCGAACCAGCGAGGCCATGGGACTGAGTACCGGCGTTGAATTCTTCACCAGCATCAATTGTGGGGAAGAGAAACTCCAAAGTTTGAACGTATTGCTTGTACTTAGGGTCGTCTACCGCAATTTGTGCGTCACATTGGGAACACTTTTGATTATCTCGCACTGATGCTGTCAAACACTACAGGATAAACCGGAGTGTTGATATCAGATATTTGCATGCAGTCATAAAAGTAGAAATAATAAAAGCTCTTTATACTTCCTAATGTTAGACAGTTATTAAATGTCTCAACGAATACTCAATAAACATATGATAAAGAAAACTCAATGTTGGTTTTCATCTGTTAAAGCACTTCAGTGCACGTGTATAAAGCACGTCTGAGAGCAGCTGCTTTAAATATTGCTTTCCTTATTCCTGTACTATATAGTCTCAATTCGTTTTTCTAAATTATATATATAATGGAATGCAGTATATAGCATTTTAAAATATTACTGCATGTATTCCTGCAGAACAACTGGTTTGCATGTACACTTAGTACGTATCCCGATACATCGGGACGAGGTTGTCGAATTTTATTAAATATTTCTGCATGTTTCAGTACAATTTGAACGCCAAATGGGTCTAACATCTTAAAGAATGTCTGGTTCTATAGGACTATATACAATATATGCATGTCATATATTCTTTGTGATAACGCCGTCTTACAACGTCTTGAGAATTATTTTGCTTTCTGCTTTTTTGCTGCATTTTATTGTCAATGTTAAACATAAAGTTGAACTACATGCAAACTGAGTTATGCTTTCTGCTTTCACTATCCGCAAACGGTCCAAATGTATGGAGGAATTAAATACTTACTCTCAGACAATGCAGCAATGGATGTTCAGAACATTTGTCCGTCAGATGCTCGTCTGGGAACTCCTTGGACAATTTGTCTTTGCCGCAGCAAAAACAAATCATGGCTATACAGTATTCACAACCTGTAGTATAGCTGGAAAGTTGCAACTGCAAAGTGAAAGAAATTGGATTCTTCCTGGAATCAGAAATGCCGTACCAGGAAATCACGTGCTCTCGCGTCTATTTGGTTTCGCATTTGAATTTTGTCTTCAACTATATATAACTATACGTACATCAATAAGATCTGGTGGCTATATTCAACTCAATGCACATTAATCGTGATGGTTCTGGCAGTGGAATTTTGCAGTCTTCACTGATAGCATATCACAATATAGTCTAAATTTATATATGAAATACAATATATGCAAATAATCTAGTTTCATTAACCGTGACTTCCAAGTATCTACAGGTATTTCTCGGTATTACAGAAACGAAACTAACTTGTATATAAAAAGCGACCCGCAGTTCAGAAAGACTGTGACAATTCGTCATACACGGATACCAACCGAAGAACATGGACGACGCTGTCGAAGTCGTAGATGTTCCCTGAAGTTTCAGAACGACGACATCTTTTGAATCTGCTATAACTGAGCAAAAACGCAGAATACAAAGAATAAGAAGCAGTGAATCATTAACCAATTTAAAGGTATCAGTGACTTACCTAGACCTTTCTAAAGCAATTAAACTATGGTAGACCTGCATGGATGCATGTATAGTCCTGTTTGAACAACACTCGATTTATTGACATGTACACGGCAGGGCTATACAGTTTGTACGGCATCAATTTTATCAGTGCCAGTGGGCACTGGGCAGCTATGCATACGCTGACTTAGCATCGATAAAGTTAGCGGTACCGATTCTAGTCGGGCCAATGAATCAAGTGTATTGACTAGTGTAACCGGTATATATATATATATATATATGTTGTATCGTTGTATCGAAGATTGTATAATAAGAACCCCGAATATACCTATTGTACTCAATTAATATGAAGATATTCGCCGGTGTGCTACAAAAGAATCCCTACTTGCCTTTCAAGGCAAGTAGGGATTCTTTTGTAGCACACCGGCGAATATTTATTGCATGCATGGTTTATCAATGGAAACATTTGAAGTAATTGTATGATGAAAGAACACAATAGCGAAAGTGACGCGTTTTAAATAAAGTCATGAACACCTTAAAGAAATAATTGATATTTTGCGGTGTATTTTTGCAATTGAGCGCTTTCCTTTACACGGCTGAAGTGGTCATACCGGTCATATTTTGAATTAATTGAAATAGAATTTTTCGTTAAGAAAATAGAGGTGAAACTACATTTCTCTTGATAGAAAGATGTAAGAATGATATACTTCCATGCAGAGTTCTTTAAACTCTAAAATAACAGTAATCTGTCTGTATTTAAATACATCAGAACCGGTCTGACCGTTTTTACCGTAGAAAGGAAAGCGTCCTATGATACCTAATTCACCTATACTATTCACATTAAAATGCATGTGTATTGCATTTGCGTCGAACTTCTTTTGCACTTGTTTTCAGCTATAATTCTGTCATTAGTTTCTGTATCTAAACCACGACGGGTAGAATGAAAAAATATTTTCCATCAATATATTGATCATTAGATTTTGAGTAGAAAAAAGGAATGAGCCTTACCGGTTGTTGACACTTACTAAGTTGACACGTGATTTCCAGGTATTTACAGCAAGGTGATATACTTGGAAACAGAAACGAAACTAAGCAATGGGTCTGGACCTTATGCGCTATAGACTAATTTTGAAACTGGGCAGCAAGAAGAAAACATATTACCATAGCTAGAAAGATCGTATAATTGAAAAGTTAATTACTTGCGAAATTTTGTAAAATGCTAAAAATATAGCCGATGCAAAGTAACTCAATCCTGTATACTTTTGTATTACGTGCGAAAATGTGTAACCAAATTCTTTGCATTGAAAAATATAGACGTACTCTGGTTAAAATATTTATCCCCGAGCCGGTGCCCGCGCCGTGCGAGGGTATACTAATTCCGCTAGGAGGTTCATTACACACGAGTATTTTTGCAGAACATAGCGGAATCCAAACTTGTCCAAATTCTATGTCATGGACGGTCGACGTTTGGATGTTTTTGTAAGTTATGCGAATGCGCGAAATTCAAACGAATAAAGACTGGTACGGAATGTTGGTATTTAATCACCGAGCTATTTTATAATTCCTGGAAGACTTGCTCCCCATATTTGTGAGCAATAGTCAAAGTGTGGTTGGACCAAGGTTTCACAAGCTGTAACAATTAAGAGTTTTCAAGTCTGAGAACTTTCGGTAGTGGTCATTACCATTGCCCATTGGGACCATATCTGGCGTCAGCACGAAAACTCCGCCATGTTTCTTGCACTTTTTTGGCACAAAACATTGGGATGCCTTGGAATTACGTTGCAAAATAAACTGCAACGCAGGGAAGTCCGTATCTTACAAAGCATGGTTATTACTATAGGTCAGTAGACATACTTAATGAACTTGAGATACCTAATTTAAGTGTTAAAAGGTAAAAAATAGCCTAGTTCCTGACTATCTCATTGACCTTTTCACGAAAACAAACGTTGTGCTTGACTATCAAACTAGACAGGCTGAGCATAATCTTATACCACCTAAGCCAAAGACAAATTTTGGTTTAAAAATCTTTTTCGTAAATCTCTGAATCTTTAAAGTGTTTAAAAAGTTAATAATTAGTAATATGTCAGTTAGTATGTTGATTGTAATAAACAACTTAATAATTAGTAACATGTCTTACGCCTGTATTCTAAAAGATTACTCACACTCACACTCAATGAGTAGAGGTTCATTACTCGAAAGTGCAACTCTGTACTCACTGAGTATTCTTTCACTCTGAATGAGTGGAAAGTTACACTTGCCCTCGGACCATTCACAAACGGCACTCGCTCTCGAAGTAGAGGCCAAGTTTGAGTGGAGTATGAGTGTAGGTCATACCTGAAATCGTCATGTCCAACGAGTGACGTCATAACGTGTGATACGACTTTTTTCTTGCACGTTTCTACGTCATAACGTGTCATAAATAGTCTTAATATATAGGTTCTGTGTGTTTTAAATGTGATTGGTTCATTCGTAGTCTCATGACTTTAAATAAATGCAATGTTTCCCTCCAGGTAAACAAGTGAAAAATTGTTGCCCGCATATTGTTATGCATGAAATTGTTGTGTAACATGTATGTTTTTGTTCCTATAGCTATAACAAAGCACTTAATATACACTACCTCAAGAAATAGTGAGTTTTCAATGTTTCCCTCGACTTTGTCTCGGGAAATATTCAGACTCTTGCGAAAGAACACACTATTTCCCTCGGGAGCATACATTAAGTATCCCACCTTATGACATCACACCAATAGCGAAGACATCGACGTCCCAAACGAGCGGGAATATGAAATCGACACAAATTCAAGCGAAGAAATTTGTAATGTTCATTCTTTTAAATAAATAATAAAACAATTATTGAATGAGTTTGAACATGATATGAAGAATTAATTATAAGCCAAAGATTGTCGTTATAGCCGAAGCCGAAGGCTAAGGTTATTTATTATATAGCTACGTCAAAACTACGTCACGTGAAGGGGGGGGGTGTTTACCGCAAAATCTTGTTTGTCAGGTTTAAACCAGTTTGATCGGGGGTTAATTCATCACCCACAGGGGGTTAATAAAAGCGGATGTCGTGATACAACGTAGTAGCGTAGCCAGCCTGTCGATTTGTCACGCTATACTAATATTTTAGTATTCACTGACTGTAAAAACAATAGATTTCTAAAAGCATGAATAATTATAATAACTCAAAAATTTACATAGCGGGACAAAATGGTCAGGCTAGCTACGCCACTGATACTACGTAACATCACGCGACATATTACCTTTGAACCGAATCCTTTTTAAAAAAAAAAGTCTCTTCTTCACCGCTTCTTCACACTTCCGGCCGTTATAAAAATAGCTTACAAAATTTGGCGATTTCGCACGGTCTTTCACAACATTTCGTATACAAACTTGGAAATTTTACTAATTTTAGTATGCTTTTTTCTAAAAAATTGCTGATCCCCTTGATGATAAAAAATTTATCTATGGCGCATAAGGTCTATTTGTATAAGCGAATGTTGGACAAACTCCAATCGGACATGATGGACAGATTTTTTAACCGTCAGGATTATCGTGTGTCGTTCTGAAGAATTGTTGAATGGCTTTGAATGCCTTTATATAGGTTAAATGGCTGATTCCCAAAGCGATCCTCTGACACCGATAAAGCGCGGTGAAAAAAATACAAGCGATGGTAAACATGGCACAGTAAATCCTAATAGCCAGAACGAGCTAGGTGGTTCAGATGTAGAAAAAGAAAAGATGAGCGGTGTTAACAACGCTGGGCAGAATACTAGTCACGATAAAGATAAAGATACCAAGCCTTTCACCGAGACAAAAAGTTATTCAGCTGCTCTTAGTACAAACCTAGACCATGGATCGTATGGCACACACACACCAACATCACCGCCACAAAATAGAACAAGCGTTCAGGTAAAATTATATATATGCATTATATATTATATATATATATATATATATATATATATATATATATATATATATATATATATATATTTACATATATATATTTATATGTTTAAAGATTTGTAATCCAGGCATATTTGTTTGTCAATGAATGTTCTCCAGATTTAAAATTGTTTTTTATTGAGCTTTCGACTCGGTACTTCGAGTCTTCTTCAGAATATCTAAATTATTTACATGTGTATAGCTTTATATATTTAAGTTTCGCGCTGTTCTTTAAGACTCTGTATACGTTGAGAGCGTCTGATTTGTTGTTTTGAAGTTGATCTGATATGAGTGGTAGTTGAGGGGTGCGTTGTCATGGTTGACTGCATTTCGTATATATATAGTTTGAGTCCAGTCAATAATTTTTCTTCATTTACGATAAATGATGTCTTGTTATAATATTCTTGTATGTTTGCATGGTGACAGTCAATAAGTAAATTAGCTTGTAGGTACACCGCGTAAGTATTTAATGCTGCAAAGCTTTCGGTCCGTTAACCCATGCAGACCTTCATCAATGCAATTGCATGTTACTTAAGTGATGATTAGATCATGAAAAATTAGATCATGCATGGAAAAGGAATAAAAATTTCCGCAGAAAACACTATTAATTGCACTGGTGAAGGCCCAGGTTAACGGACCGAAAGCTAATTATAACTCAACAAAAAGATTTTGTACAAATATAACTCGATTCAAATACAAATTCTCATTATATCGCTTCGCTAGTAAAGTTCGGCAAATCCGGAAAAAACCCGTGTTTCTATACAGTTATAGAAACACGCGTCTCGACCAATCAACACGCACGTACTATAAATGTTATATTATAAATATTTTTCATTGTATTTAAGTTGTACATGAATGGCCACCTTTTTGTGGACCAAGGATGGCAAAAGAATAAAAAATCATATCGACTGGACTCGGACTTTTGACATCAGCATCCGTATCATATAACAGTTACAGCAAAATTTCTTTTGAAAATTTCATAGTATTGAGGGTATAGAGTAATTATATATTTGCTAATTATATAGTGAATCGTAGACCAATACAACTCGGTAAAACAAAATAAATATTTACAAATTTGTAGGTCAATTTTTATCTTTTGATCCTCGGCAATTACTCTGTTGATGAAGCATACATCCATCTCAGTGCTAAAGAACTTGTACCCCTCCAACGGGTTATGGCAGAAAATTGCTTATGGAGAGTGACGATTACGTTCCCGAATGATCCAATAAAATGCCGTTTCAAGTATAAATACGTCATTCGTTGTAAGGGACACGACTTTAATCTTTTTGGTTTTCGCATTGGTCTTTTCAGCAAAGATCCTTCATGCTGTGAAGAACGTGCCGAACGATCTGTGAAATCGGAAGTCCAGTTTGATGTATTTCATTTTCCTGATAACCGAGCCCATCAGCATAAAACTATTCCGGAATCAGTGATCTTTTATGTACAGTGGTTATTCCCCTCTATTTTTGCCGCATCTACTTCGGATTTCCTTATTCAAATCGAAAAGTTGGATTTTAAATCATTAAGCGTAAAACATGTTGACTTAATGGTTAATTGGATTTTGAAAATGGCTACAGATAGTTCTTCCACAGATCTCCACCGCTTCTATCTGTCCGTTGTTCTTGGCCATATTGACGATAATCATTGGTACTCATTGATTTTCCCAAGTGGTGAGCAGACGGATAAAGCGTGTGATCGTTTGATTAAGAGTTTTTATGTTGGCGCGGACTCCAACCTTCTTTCTTCATCAAATGTCAAAGTCTTAAGGAAAGCTGCTATCTTGTTGGTGAAAAACTGCAGTATTCCTGGATGGCTTACCTTGGCAGCTTACTTTTATCCCGATCTTGGAATGAAATTTGTCCTCGATCAGGAATACGTCATGGGTCACAGTCACACATATGATGAAAAGAAATACCAAAAACTGGTCGACGCTCTCTTTTTGAAAATTAGGAAATCTGAGAACCCAGACTATCAGCTTTCCCACCAAAAGCTGTTGGTTCCAATGCTGAAAAGCGTTCCCACACTCGACCTTGCTCTTGGCATATTTCAACGTTCCGAAGTTCGTGATTTCTTTGCCACCGAGGACATGATGGTCGATTCATTTGTAAGATTTTATCAGGATAGACAACGAAACACTCACACCCATAGGGAAATAGGTGAGAAGTTGGTTGAATTTTTCCAAATTCCCAAACAATTCCGTTGCAAAATGCATCAAATACTATACTCAGCTCTGTTGGAATACGCGAAGTCAGACGAAAAAGTAAAAGAGGAACATGTCACTATTTTTATCGACTCAATTATTTCCAAACGCGTTCTGGCTATAGAGCAAATTCTCGCGGTGCTCATGGAACTTTCGAAATCAAAATCAGTTTCTCGTCGAAATTTACTCCTTGAAATCCTAAATAACGACCTCTTTGGCAAAGACTGGCATGAAACTAAACGTATGCGAAAGTTTGATATCTGTAAATCGTGGGTTCTTACCAGTCTGAGCAATAAATGGCGTAGAACGAGTCCTGTTGGCGTGGATAAAGTGATAGCAGTGTTTGAGGCAATCAATGCTATAATGCGATGTTCCCTTAATATCGCAAATTCAGCTCTCGCTCAAGATATCACTAACGCCGTCGTAAAAAAGTTTTTAGAAAAGGTGGACACTGAAAACGTTCTTCAAGCATTTTCTAGTGTAGAAAAATACGTGTCTGTAGTCCAGGAGTGCTACAAATCCCATGTGCGGAAAATATTGGAACAAGCCCCAAAATTAGTAAAAAAATCAAGCAAAATTCTGAAAGATTGTTCAACCAGCAGGTACGTTTAATTTCAGGCATATTCTCGCCCTACGAGTGTAGTTAGATTAAGAATATTTAATAAATCAAACCTCATATTTCAGCGATGTGTGCCTTTTTTCAGTTTTTATATTTTTTTTTATATAGTCTCGGCCAAGAGTTACTGTTATGTATCGTGGATATCGTAGATGTTCCAGAAGTTGGCAACGATGCCGCAATCAATGAAGACGATTTCAAAAAAGTTTTAGAATGGTGCGACATTTGGGTTATCCTTCTGAAAACAACAGGTTGGTTAAATTGCCATCAAAACTAAATAACAGTTGATCTTTTTGGCTTTATATGAGTACTTTTAGCTTGAAAAATGTCTGAGCAGGAGCGCCAGGTAAAATTAAGCATTTTAGAGTCTTTTAATATGTACATAAGGTGCAGGCTGTCCCCGAATGCCCTCGTGACCACGATATGGCTACATGCACCCTAGTCGGTTACAATCAAATTAGGATCTCAATTAATCTCACAGGCAATGTCAGCCATATTACATATTAAATGGCCTATGTTAATTTTTCAGGAAACGCTAAAAATTTCAAAAAATACCGGGATGGCGAGAAAATTTGTAAACAGTTAGAAGCGTGCATTAAAGCAGGAGATATTTCTTTGAGCTTCTTGAAGACGGTATTTGACGAGAAAGAAAAAATTTCAAGGCTGTGTGCCGCTGTGGTGAGTAAGTCTATGCCATCGTGTGATCTTCCAGATCTTCAAAAGCAGATTTCGGAGCGTATCTCGGAATTAATTCGTATTGTAGAAGACTGCGAGAAAAAGCTTCAGTTGCTAGAGTCCGCGATTAACTATGCAAAGAAAATATCAAATGATGTTCATGGCATCGAAACCGCGATACAGAAATTAAATTACCTTAACAAAACCTGGCGTTTAAGGAAAGCAAATGAATTGGAAGATGATAATTTTTGGGGAGAATTGCATCCATTCTTGAGCCCAGCAAAAGCACTACAACCATTGGTAAATTCGCTGTCCTTCAAAACTGTGGCGAAGAAGGGTTTAAAAGAATTAAGCAGCTCAAATGCAGAGGAAAAAGTTACTGATTTTTATTCACTGATGTTGTTTCTTACAAGTAGAGCAATTGAAGATCTCCAAGAGCAGTGGAATCCAGTGTTGAAAAGGCCAGGCTCGCTAAGTGTAGACACACTGAGGACATTACTCGGCACACTTAAGTATCAGAACAAGCTTGAAGATGAACTCAAACTACTGGAAAAATATTTCAATAGAGAATTCTCTCCGTTGGTTAAAGTTTACGTCGAGGACTACGTAAAGTATCCCGCTGTCTTGAAACAAGTTCGGCACGTGTTTAGTACACTTCAAATATTTGGATTGGCGGATCCTTCAAATGAGATGCTATCAATGCTTCTAAAATTCCAAACAATTTTGGAAAAAAGTTCTGAGCTCACTCTCGAAATCTTGCACAAATCAATGAAAGACGTAAAGGAAATAGTTTTGTATTTTTCGGGAGAGGAATTAGATTGTGTGATTGACGAACTATCGCGGTCCAGTGCACTGCTGGGCTTTATAGAAAAAATCGTGGACGAGGATATTCGTTTTTTAATTGACGCCGTCGAGGAACACTCTGATCAGTTTGTATCCGAGTCGTCAGTTTCCGATCTTATCGACGTTCATGGTTTCCTTGCACCGTTGATTAAGAAGAAAAACCAGAGCAAATGTAATCCCCGCGAATTTCTCAAGATGTTAAAAGAATCTTGCCTTGGTCACAGAAATATAGCGGTGAAAATTCAACAGTGTAGCACTAATGTCAACAGTCTTCGTGGATTGTACACGAGCATTGCAAACCGCGGGGAGATAACTAAAGAAATCATAAGTAACTGCCTGAACAGAGGAGAATATTGGGTGTCGCAGGAAAATGGAACCAAGATGAGTTATAATCTCCAGGGAAATGATGGAAAACCTAGAGAATGTAGTTATTCTTTGTCAGATCTACATGATTTACGAAGTCGTGCACATCTTATTGTTAGCTCTCATAAGAATGCTATCACCGTTCAGTCCAGCCATTCCAGCGAAAATGAGGAGGAAATTGACTTTGATGACTTTATAATTCAAGTTAATTTGTTAACCGAAATTTCCATTCTTCTAACGAAATTGCGTTCGTCCGGTTATGTTAAATATCGTACCTTCTGGAAGCAAATAACAACCACCAAGGATCTCAAAACTTGCAGAGATAACCTGCAGCATGATCTAAGAAACTGGGAAAACCTCTTGGAAGAAGCTCGTGGACAGTATTACTTCCTTAACTATTACCATTCCGATCAACTGTGCATCTTGTATCATTTTATAGTCAATAAATCCAGCGTTAAGATTAATTGCGACGAAGTCCTTCCTTTAATCCGCTATGTGGACCGAACCATAACAGAGGAACAGTTAGAGCAGCACAGAGAGTCGCAAAAGTCAGAGAAATCAACTTCCAAGGACAGTCCGGAGTTCTTACTATTGACCGTTGGTCAAGCTTTAGAAAAAATTTTCAGTAATTCGAAACAAGTTATCAGATTCATATCCGATGACAAAGGAAGCATGTCGTATTCCAAGCTAGAGGCCTTAGTTACACCTGGTGAAATTTTCGTTGCAAGTCTGGAACCTGAAAGTCCATTGACGGCCAACGTGATCCTTACGCTGTACGAGAATACATCAAAAGCATTTCCGGAACCATATCAAATTGTGTTCTGCAGTATTGAAACGACTTGGGAGGAAATACATCTCTTACTTCAACGATGTTTTGAGCGCTCAAAAGACGTATATCGCAGGAATTTGTTCTGTATTGCAAATGTTGAGTTATTACCGAATGAATTGCAATTCACATTAGTAAATGCAATCAAAAACAGGCAGAAATGTTACCAAAGCTCTGAGGCTATGAACGAAAATCCCGATTACTTGCTTGCCTTGATTTGTCGCGGTGGCGATCATCATCACATTGTGGAACAGTTCGCACAATTTTCGCACAACATTGCTGGTATGAGCGACCATGCTCTTTCAGATCGTCTCCGATCTTGTTGGCCTGAAGTTAAAATGATTACATCAACACTTCCTGGTCTTGGCAAAACAGAACGAATCAGAAGTGAAATACAAGAGAAGAAAATGAACGTCGCAACATTTTCAATCAGTGGTCCATTTGAGCCAAGCAAACTCATTCAACGCCTGAAAAAGCTCAAGCTCAGAAAATACCATTGCTTGCATCTGGATATTGGCGAAGTAAGTGACCCGTTGCTGTTAGATACATTCTTATTTCAACTAATTGTCACTGGGATGGTTTCAGCGGGAATGCAATTTTATCATCTTCCAACAACGCACATCTACATTGAGATTGCGAACACGCTGAAAGATTGGCTCCGGGAATCTTTAGTTGTATCAAAATATTTCACACGGATTCACTTGGAGTGGCAGAATTACAAGGATCTGAAAGTCAGCGACGAAATCACAAGTAATGTTCAAATCGTTTGCCAATATTTGGACATTCTCGATCGAACATGCATTGAATCAAAAGAAGTTTATTTCAGCGGACCGAATATGTCAAAGCCATTACCAGAAGGCCGCTGCCAAGATCTCCTGGCTAAGTACTTCTCGTCAGATGCAGAAATCACCTTCACAACCCTACACACGTTTCTTGGTGTTCTGGCTAATCAACTTTCAAAATTTTCAAAAAGTGCTTATTTCAAAATTGCAAATCTAAAGTCCATGATTGGTGATGAAGCTCAAGGTGTCCGCAGTAATCTTTTTGGCGCCCTTTTAAAGGTATCTAAAGAATTCGCATCACGAGCTATAAACACCTGTCGCTCCAGTGATAAAAAGAATCTATCTCAAGAAGAGTCGGCGAAAGCGTTTGACGAGGCCATGGTGTCGACTACCACGTCCGCAAAAGATATGGTCGATCGGGTAACGGGAATGATACAGTGGGAAGATAGCAACCATCTCTTGGTCGTGTTTCATGGTATTAATTCGCAAGCAATCACTGCCATGTATCGGAACAGATCGCTTGTCCCTTCAAGTGTTGAAAAGTTGTTGAAGAGTCAAGGTGTTAAAGGAAATCAAGAGCTTGAAGACTTCAATGTTTTTACTCAAGAACAACTTCAAAAGAAACTAGAAAAGATAGCTTGTTCTAAAGCAGTTGAAAAGAGCAATTTATTCCCAGGTTATGCACTGACCCCAGATAACATTCTGAAAATGATATTGATCATATTACGGGTCCGTGTAAACGCACCGGTCATCATCATGGGGGAGACAGGCTGTGGGAAAACTAGCCTCGTCCGCTATTTGGCTAACACCTGTGGCGTACAGTTTCATACATTCAATTTCCATGCTGGAATATCGGAAGAAGATATCGCTGAATTCATTAACAAAAAAGAAAAGGAAAGTACTACCAAGGATAATGTCAACGAGCAAATCTGGATTTTCTTGGATGAAATAAACACGTGTGATCATTTGGGATTGATCAATGATATAATGTGTCATCATTCTTTGTGCGGACGACGACTATCCAAGAATCTTGTTTTCCTTGCAGCTTGTAACCCGTACAAGCTCCGTCCTGAAGAACACATCAAAACAGCTGGTCTCGAAGGTAAAAATATCACTGATGAGTATTCTGGACTTGTTTATCGTGTCCATCCACTACCAGAAGCTATGATTGACTATGTTTGGGATTATGGTTCACTTGCACCAGAAGATGAACGAAATTATATTAAGAGGATGGTGAGAGACCTGCCAAAGGAGTATGAGGGAATGCTCGTTGATTTGCTTGCGGCATCCCAAAAGTTCATTCGGAACGCTGAAAAAAATCATTTTTGTGTCAGCCTACGCGATGTGTACCGCTGCATTCACTTGATCAGTTGGTTCGAGGAGATGCTCAAGACGCGCCAAGAGCTTAACGAAAACAAGGTTGAATACCCCGGCCATCTTCAACAATATCATTCGATTTCACAACAGTACAAAAATGATCCGACGACTAAGAGCATTGTCCTCGCTCTTGCACACTGTTATTTATCCAGATTACCAACCGCGGAGTTGCGAAGAGATTACCGAGAAAGTATGATGCACATATTCAGCCACAACAAGATACAAATGACCTACGATGCAAATGTAGATACGTTCGCAGCCATTGTACGCATGGAGGAGGAAGATTATTTAGACCGAATGGACCTCCCACCTGGGACAGCAAGAAATGCCGCCCTACGCGAGAATGTCTTTGTTATGTTGGTTTGCATCTTAAACCGCATCCCTATTTTCGTAGTTGGAAAGCCTGGCTGCAGCAAATCATTATCCATCCAATTGATACGAAGCAACCTACGCGGACGTGATTCACGAGATCCTCTATTCAGACAGTTGCCACAACTTTACGTCGTCTCATATCAAGGTTCAGAATCCTCAACATCAGAAGGAATCATCAAAGTGTTTGAAAAGGCACGAAAATATAAAACCCACAACAAAGATGGAAATGTTTTGCCCGTCGTTTTACTTGATGAAGTTGGATTGGCCGAAAATTCAAAGTATAATCCTCTCAAGGTTCTTCATAGTTTGCTGGAGCCTGGTGAAGGAAAATTGCCTGATGTTGCTGTTGTAGGTATTTCAAATTGGTCGTTAGACGCTGCCAAAATGAACAGAGCAATTCACCTGTCCAGACCTGAGCCAAACAAAGACGATCTTTACGAGACAGGGCATTCGCTTCATTATGCTGACGAAGGAGATGACAGCCAACACTTGGGAGTGCAAGAACTACGATGTTTAGCCGAAGCCTATTTTGAATATCAAGCCCAACAAAGCCATGCGAATTTCCATGGTCTTCGCGACTATTACTCCCTAATCAAGAGTTTGACCGGCAGTAGTAGTTTCCAGCAAGTTAACATTTCACTACAGCGCAATTTTGGTGGCCTTCCCGGAGAAGTGACCAACATTCAGAAGATTTTCCTTGACAAATTAAAAACATTCATGGTATCAAGTGGTCAAGACATTATTCCAGTCACACAACTAATTCAAGAGAATCTCTCAGACCCTTACGCTCGCCACCTGATGCTTATAACAAACGGGGACTCAGCCCTTGGTATCCTAAAGCAAAGTCTGGCTCAGCTAGAAAAGGAAACCATCACGATATTTGGCAGCCGATTCGAGGAAGACCTTTCTGAAGAGTACAACTACAGAATCCTCAGTCGTGTCATTCTTTGTATGGAGCGGGATTGCATTTTAATCTTGAAGGATCTAGAAAGCATTTATGGAAGTCTTTATGATATGCTGAACCAGAATTACGCCGTCGTCGGGAACAGGAAAAACTGTCGTGTGGCCCTTGGGGCGTACAGTAATCCAATGTGTCAAGTAAATGATGGCTTTCGTTGCATTGTCCTCGTTGATCAACACAAAGTAAATTTTCTGACCCCCTCCATTTCAACAGATTTGAAAAGCAACTTTTACGATTTTCTGATGTGTTGACTGAAGATCAGAAGGGTGTTATTAACGAGCTGAATCATTGGGTTGGAGGGATTTCTAACGTAGAAGGTTTGCAATCACATTTCCACGTATCAGATGTTTTCATTGGTTTTCATGAAGACACCCTCCCATCACTGGTTTTATCACATAGTCATGACACAGATAGCGAGTCAACAGACGTTTTGAAGAAATGCAAAGATGACTTGATGTGGGTTGCTTCACCTGATGGCGTACTTCGAATGCAAAAATGTAACTTTTTGAAAGAAGATTCAAGTGAAGTCCAAGACCTAAGTGATGAATATTTCCGGAAACCACTCCATCATGGTTTTTCCGCCTTCTTTGAACACGTTGTTGCGAATCATCAGGAATCTTCTTTCTTTGCTAGTGATGAGATTGGCTCCAAAACGATTGTCATGACATTTGCCAACATTCACACAGATATACGTCAATGCTTGGGCAATGGTGTAAGTTGTCAAGTCGAACGACTGAGTGCGTACAAGTCAGAGAAGCAGTTAGCTGAAAGAATTGGCCAATTCTGGAATGCATCTGAAAAGGAATTGCTGGTTTTGCAGTGTAAACCAGATTTAGATGGTACACATTTACTCCTTGCCCGTTCCATAATTGAAGAAAAACGAGATGCCTACAAGCAATGGTTGCATGAAACAGAGAGTAAAGCACAAGTATTCAAGCACGTTTGTATCGTAGTACATGTGCAACGCGGAGAAGAAAACGCAAATAGTATTCGGTGGCAGTTCAGTTTTTTGTGTGGTTGGAGACAAGTCTTCCTTGACGTTCTTGAAGCCCCTCTTGTTCCACTAAACGAAATTCTCGGTGAAAGCGTGCAGAAACTTCTCACGTCTTCCATATGGCCTATACGGAGGATTGCGCAAAATGATCTGTTATGGTGTTTCACGTGCATCAAATATACACGATGGCAACGGCCTCTGGATACGGTTCTTCGCATTGCCAAAAGTCTATTTTATTCAGATACAGTTTCCGAAGTCATTGAGAAACTTATCCTGGAATCGATTAATCTGAATACCCACGAAAAAGACCAGGATATTTATTTTAGAGACAGTTGGCAAGTAAAAGTTGCTTGTGATCGGCAGTCGTTGGTTAATTCATCCACTCTATACTGTGCAATGGAACAGTTCGTCTCTCGGTTAGTGCGAAATCCCTTGCTAAAATCGTCTACTTTCTGGAAAAGGAAAATGCTTGGCCACCTCATCTTTGTAACGATCTTGATGAAACCCTGTTGCTAAAGTTAGAAGACATGTGGCGTAATTTTATCTTGGATAGCGCAGTTTTCAATATGTCAGACATTCCTGAGCCTCATGGAGCTGAAACATATATTCTTGAAAGCATCAGCCTTGATCTTTTGCTACCTTTCAGCCAACTTGTTAGCAAAAAAGTTGACAGTGTTAAGGAATTGTTTTTGGAAGATTGTTCACAACTGGTGGAAAATAAAGATAATTTGGATGAAAATGGTGAACTAAACCAGTCTGTTCGACAACAGCAACTGGAAAGATTTGCAAAGATGATCACAGACCAGGTACCCGAACTTGACAGCATAACCACTCACTTCCATATTTTGTACATGACGGATATTTTCGATATGATGACTGCCGATTTTAGACTAACATTACCTCGTTCACAGAGGGTGGCACTAGTACAAGCAGTGTTTACATCGGAGGTTAAGCAGGGTTTCCGGCAAAAGACATGCCCGAATTTTTCGCATTGCTTCACACATTTGCTTGGGTTCACCGGGAAGAGATTCTAGATATGCTGAAAATGATTGACCATTGTCGCTTGTTCATAGAACTAAGCGTTCTTTTAAAGATAACGGATGATATACTGGGCAGTTCGAAAGAAGTTATGCTGGCGGAAATTGATGAAACGGAGTCAAACCCACAAGTAGACAGCCAAACTGAAACGCTTAATGAAAATCTGGAGACAGCAAAAACACTGAAAGCGACGGTGAATTGGAATCAAACGAAGATCCATCCGAGCAGAGTGAAGCAAAGCTTGCTGATATAGACCTGGAATTCGAGAAACCTTCATCAGAAAACGAAGATAACGAGGAAGAGGTCATTGAAGAGATAATGGACGACCCTGGAGATTCAACCGAAAAAATAGGAGATGTCTTGGTCACTTTGTACTGTGAAATGATGTTCCCTTCGCCAGAAGTTGTTGAAAAAAGTGGTAGTCCCGAACTGTGGATGCGAAATGCCAACTTACTCCTTTCATTAGCACTTAAAATCAGTGAACACTCACCAGCATTCCATTACTTACGTTTGTGCGTTGATTTTCTACGGATCAATTTCATCTCTGACGAATTGCCATTGTGTACTTTGAGTGAAATCGCCACAACTCTTTCTCCAGAATACTTGGATCACGAGGATTCATTCGAAACAATAACTGAGCAACTAATTAGACCGTTGGAGGAAGAAATGAAAGGTAACAAGGATAAACGGGAAGCTTTACAGAAGTTCTCAGCTCTGTTTTACGGCCGTTGTATTGACACAAATGTTGATACTTGTGGTGTTGGTCCTATTGTTAAAGAAGTTCTTTCTTTGGAGCGACCTGAGTTGGTGTTGAAAATGAGTCCTGTTGTGCTACGGTTACTCATGGTTGAACAAATGCAGTCTCCTGGCATATTTAAGAATTTGATCGACAATCCAAGTGTCATGGACAACTGTCCATGTCTTCAGAATATCGATGAAGTTTTCAGTGATCTTTTTTCCAATGGTTTGATACATCATGATTCATATCCTTCGGTAATGACCTGCGATTTAATTGAGAGTCAGCTAGATTTCAAGAATAATTTTGGTATCAGTGATCTAAATAGCTCTGATTGTGAAGTCCTCGTGCTTGCCAAATCTGCTGTAAACGTGATAGCTCAAAACGGTGAAGATGCTTGTGGTATCAGAGTATTCTCTTCTGTTGCCTTCCTTCGAGGATTCTTTACAATGTTAGCACAGTTTATCGCTGCAAATCCTGGTGTTATCGACAAAGGCAGCCCTTATGTTCCAGTTATAACTGAAGTCAATTCACTACTAAAAGATGCTAAATCAACCTTGCCGATATTTTTCTTGAAACAACTCCGAGAAAATGCAGGTATATTTGATCTACAAAAGTGGTTTGGTGAGAATAGCGTGCTTTCATCAATAGAGGAACTATGGGCCAACGAAAAATACGAAGATAAGTCGGTATTTACCACTGTTTTAAAACATCCTGAATATAAGAAGAAGGCGGCCTTGAATTATATCAGCGACAACCATCGATGCAAGCGTTTTTGACCAAATGCCGCGGTTCTCCTAAACATGCTTTTGCCCTTCTTGGAATCCTAATAAACATGGTGTACTTGAAACGTTCCGTAAGAAAACTAACTGATAAAGAAGAACAATTTGTTAACTGGTTTTTGAGAACGTCTCCTTTTCTATTGTTTCAGGAGCTTCTGCTACGAATTATAGGCCGTCAGGATTTCCACTGTCCAGAACTCCAACTATCGTCCGAATCTTCAGTCGATGATGTCGAATTTGCGCTGTTAGTTCTTCACATCGCCTGTGTCGTCGCTACTGGTGCGCTAAATGAGAACCTGCCATTTTATCGCTACGTTACAAATCCTGCTAAGTTCAAACAACCTTTGGTTCTGGCTCATCGTGAAGAGGAATTACATTCCATATTCAAGTACAAACCATATCTCATGGACTCTGTTCTTGCGACCTGCCAATGTGGTGTAAGGTTGGCCTTCAACGGTGAAATAGATGAAGCAAAGTGCCCTCGTTGTCAGGAGACCTTGGGTGATGAAACAGAGAGCGGTACGTCGGCAACACTGCCACTCTCCTTCCATTGTGGTGCAAGTCTTGAAAGTGATCTCTGCGCAAAACACATGTGTCCAGCGGTATATCGTGCTTTGCATCTCGTTGTTTACTCATCCTACTACGCCGGAGTTGCACTTGGAACTTCGAATAAAGATAATCTGTCAAGTGTCTTGAATGTATTAAATGTATTTGGTCCTGATAGCGATCCAGTGAAGACATGTGTTAAGACCATTAGAGATGATCTGTCCCATCTAATGAAAATTCTTAGTTGCAAGAGAGATGTTGCAATCAAAACTATGCATGTTGTCCTTGAGAAGAGTTCGGATCTTATTACCAGTAACAATATGCTAGGAGCAAACGACTGTTCCACGCAGGAAGGCCGCAGAGAATGGGAAGTCGAGTTTTCACACCTTACGGAACCAGTGTTCTCAAAGTTACGCGAAGCTCCGGAGCAAATGCAAGTGCCGATGAAACTGCAACAGACGAAAGACAATCAAGAAAACGTTTCAGTTGAATGCCGTATTTTGGAACTCGACAACTATCCTAATGAACCGACTGAGCAGAATCAACAACTAAAGAGATTATTCCGTGCGACAAAGCAACCATGTTTTGAAGATTTCCGATCAGCATTTTTGCATTCTCCGAAAGAGATTCAATCAAACCACAGTTTCTTGGCTTTGTTCTTCGCAAAGTTTGAGCAACTCCCGATCATTGGCCATCTTCATCATCTGCTGAAATGGTCTCGTCTGGTATCATCAGCACTGACCCACCGTATTAGTAGAAAAGATGCCGAATCAAAGTCTATCAATGATTTTATCAGCGGCCATCTTCTGGAATTAGAGCGTTCTCCTCAGGAACTAGAAAGTTTAAGATTGCTGTTCGACAGCTTCAAAGAAGCGTGGAACGAAACGCGTCCGCTAGTTAATCAAGCGCTCGCAGAGAAGGAGTTGGACAAAATGCCTTGGTTGGTGGAGACGGATTGTATAGCATACTGTTTAATGGAGAGTGATTTTGGTGTCTATCTTAAAGAGGCTATTGGGATTCTGGTTTCCTACCAAAATTCAATTCTAGATATAATACTTTCTCTTTCATCCTCACATCTCCAGCCCGCTTTAAGTGTCTTCGAAGAAGACCATGGCAGTAGTATCGCGTGCGTCACCATTCAAGAAGTGAAAGAAAAAGAAATCATCTGTTTCCAGTGGTCCGACGCTGATTTGTTGAGATACGGACAAAGCAATCTAGAGTATGGCAAAGGCCGAAAAATCACATATGATTTTGAGCGAATTGAGATGTGGCTTGCATCAAAAATTGTGTTTGGAAAGTGTTTCTTGACCGGGGCACTCACAAGGTTTATATTCGCAAAGGAACTTTTCCACTCCTGCGGTCAATTGTTGACAGAGATTCGAAAACTGGTGAAACAGAATCCAATTTTGCCAGAGGAAGTATGTAAAGGTTTAGCTATCCTGAAAGAACGAAGAATCAAGGAAGCCCAAGATCTTCTCCAACATATCGAGGTGCTTATCTTTCTGCTTAAACGAAAATTGAAGACCTTCAACGTCGATATGACTTTAGAAGAGCTCGCTGAAGAATGGACCTCGATGTTACCGAGTCCCTTCCCTGTCAGTCTGTTACCAGAACCAAGAAGTTCCATTAAAATCAAGCACGTAGCTGCTCTTTACGAAGCCCTCGAAGATCTGCTGGCTGATGGCGCTATTGACGGTCTAGCAGATCAATTTCGATACCAGTTGCCGATTAAAATGAAAGAAGCCATTTGCGCTGTGCTGGCCAAAGATGTACTGGCGTTAAAACCACCCAACTTTCTTAAAGCGTTGCGCCGTTTCGTGTTTCGTTACCTCTCATCCGAAACTGAAAGATATTGGCCCGAAGAAAGAAAATCGTTGCAGTCGTGTTTGGACGAGCCTTCGCTTTGGTCACCACTCCCACTGCCAAACCTTGACGAAATTCCTCGAGAAATTACCCTAGAAAATATTCACTCGACCGTCAAGTACATAGAAGAAGTGGAAAAGGTGAGATTTCGATTCCTATAAACAATTCAGCTCCAATGCGCTCTGTAGAGAATTTCTATTTTCAGTTAAACTTTCTTTTTCAGTTGTTTTCATTAAGTATATGATATTATATTCTGCTAATAAAAAATATATATGATATGATGCATTTAGTAGAATGATACTTTGGAAGAGGTTTCCTGGTATATACTCAGAGAGGATAATTTTTATACTTATTTCGTTTGCCATTGCTACAGTAAATATAAATCAATAGAATAAAAAGACAATAGACCTTTTCGGTAATTACGTCTCAACATTTTAACATCACAACGTTTTAAATTTAGAACCACCTTAAATGAAATAGATTTCAAGTTTTACTCTCACGAGCCACGTGCAAAGATACAAAACACCCTTCTTCAACACATGCATGAAAAATATATATTGTTTGTTTTGATCAATAAATGTGAAAATAAGCCAAAACACGAGAACGAGGCTGAGGGGCCAAGACCAGGAGCCTCGTTCCCGTGTTATGGCTTAGTTCATACCTATTAGTCAAAATGAAAAAAAATTATTTTTCATGCACGGGTAATAGAACGATTTTTTGGATCTCTGCACATAGCTTGTGAGAGTAAAACTTGAAATCCATCTCATTTAAGATGGTTCTAAATTTAAAACGATGATGTTGTGACATAATTAGCGAAAAGGTCTATTAGATATATCTTCTACGCTGCCTAAACTATTTGAAATTGTTTATTTGGTTCGCCCGAAGTACAGCCAAACCTGAAATCAGATTGGTTAACAAGAAAATTCGTGGCGAAAAGTAGCGTTGTTTCCTAGAATATGTCAGTACATTTTCTGGCGTGAAAAAACTCGTGCATAATAGAAAAACGGTCGTTGCGATACTAGGATTTCGTTGGACCACATTTCTGTGGAATACCCAATATATGTATTAATAATTCTGATATAATGACAAATACGCATGAATGAAGTCAACAAATGAACCACAAATATTTTTTTTTCTTAGGAGAAGAAAGCGAGCATTTCTAGAAGACCCGGTCTACGAAGTTCGCCGCGTCCGCCTCAGAAAATCAAACAACCTGGGAAATCAGCACGACGTCGGGTTGCAAATTTTAATTAGATTCGACAGCCTTTTTTCTTATTATAACTATATGTGTAACGTTTCAATTTTTTCATATAACGCAACGATCTTAGCTGGGCGTGCAACACTCCTCGAACTGCTAGTGCTAAGCCTACAGGTAGATTTTGACTTACGATTATTCAACCAGTTGCTAATTGCACTTGATTACTTGACCTCTTTTACAATTTTCTAACCGGCCTAGTTTCACATGTGAGTGATTTCCTGAGTAATAGGATAAAGCAATTTATGATGCCCATGGGAAACTTAAATATTCAAATTTGAAACCAATCGTATCAGCATTCTACCGTCCATTTTAACTCAAAACCCGATGGCGATGGGAAAATGCCCATCCCCCGCGAAATAGGCGCCTGGAATGTTGCACAATCGAATTGATCGGTGCTTTAATCAAATATGATTTCCAGTATTGCATAAATGGAATTGATAAGTAATCAAGTAGAACTATAGTGTTTAGATATAATTTCCATGCAGTGCATGTATTACGTTTCAAGAAAAAATGCACTTAATTCAGCCCTAAAAAAACAAAAACACCAACTTAGTTGCACTAATCTTATATCCTAAATTAGTAAATCCCTTTAACATGAGTAGTATCGTCCAGGATATTTGAATGCAGTTTGATGATGCGTATAGCAAACGTCAGCATCAAGACACCACTCGCTTTTGCTACCAATAAGCTAAATTGACCATTGAATTGCAGTCGTTCAGGATGGAGTAGGTGATTGGACGATTCCTCGTATATATGAAACATTTAGTGTAATAACTGAATAACAATGTCAATGCCAATTCGACAGCTATTTTAAATTGATATTTAGTCTAAACATGCTGATGCATATGAAACCAATAATAGTTATCTAGTTTAATCTTTTTCATTAATAAATGTTTTTTTGTCAATTTGTTTTATATTATATAGTTTAGTTGTAGTGGCAACTAGAACGATAATTGGCGGGTGAATATTCATATATCCAGTTCTGCCCTACGGATTTCTTTAGTGCAATAGCTTATACAACAAGACGCCGTTCTGGCGTTACTCCGGCGCACGTGCCAGTCTTCAATATAGAGCTTCTGAACATAAACAATACAGTTCGCGTATTGTTTCGCATACATATTCGCATCATGCAGTTAGATGCCTTGCGAACCTAAATGTTCGATCGCGAAATTTAGAAGCACATCGCAGTATAGAAGTTCAATTGTTCAAAAATGTAAATAAACCGCATGATACATTCGCTTCGTCTTACACTTTGCCTTTTGAATTCGCGCTTATATAGTTATATTAAATCTTCGATCCTGTGCAAACTATACGCGACGTGTCAACGCGCCCATACACGACCACATCATCTTGTTAAACGGCGAAATGGCAGCGATATTATTAAAATAGGACCGGAATCTACATGTATTAAATATATTCTTACCCCAATTCAATCTAAACTTAATCGAACCATCTCTATTTCCGAGGGCGAGGCGTTCGATTATAGTTAGTTAGCGCTCAAGATAATTTTTTAAGATAATTTTACGAGGCATTAGGCAAAAAAATGAGTATAAAAAGGATGGTTTCGAAAATGGATTTCGCAACAATACTGAAATATATATACCACTTATTAACCGAATTTGAGGTCCGTACTAGAAAAATATCAGACCGAGGTTTGACAGTACAGACCGAGCGATAGCAAGGTCCGTACATAAAAGACCGAGGTCTGATATTTTTCCAGGACGGACCGAACGTATTCGGTTAATAATAGATTTATTATTACATGGCATACAGTATTTAGTTTATTTATTTATACAATGCGCTGCAGCATTCTTGCCTCTTTCGCCAGCCAGTCGCCAAGCAAGCACTGAAGTGGCTTCCAAAACTTTGTTTTTTACTCGTTAAATAAGAATAATACAGTAATATAAACAAAAATCAAAGATGAATAAATATAATATTCACATGTACCAAATAATGCTCTCTACCTACCTCTGCTCTCTTCGTCCATTCTCCGTCGATATTTTTCGTGTCAAAAATAAAAGTGCAAGCTTGTTTTTTTTTTAATTAGAGAGTTGGACCGTTACTAACTTACTACGGCAACGGTCTAATACTGGGGGATTCCAGAAACCAGACCGGCGAAGAACCAATCAGCGCACGCCATTTAGTTACAAGACCGCGTGCCATATAATAAATATACCACTTATTAACCGAATTTGAGGTCCGTACTAGAAAAATATCAGACCGAGGTCGTGACAGTATATACGGATCGAGCGATAGCGAGGTCCGTACATAAAAGACCGAGGTCGGATATTTTTCCAGTACGGACCGAACGTATTCGGTTAATAAGGGATTTATTATATGGCATACAGTTTTTAGTTTATTTATTCAAACAATGCGCTGTAGCATTCTTGCCGGCTCTTTCGACAGCCAGTCGCCAAGCAAGCACTGAAGTGGCTTCCAAAACTTGAACAAAAATCAAAGATGAATAAACTATAATATTCACATGTACCAAAATAATGCTCTTCTTCGTCCTTCATTATATATACTATATAATCCTTTGTCGTTATGATTAGGGTCTTTATGATCGGACATCTACTCAGCTCAGTCAAATTGATATTCTTCTAATTTTTGTATATGCGGATTGCAGATACATCGTGTGACATATAGAGATCAGATTCGTTGGCATTATTATCCTTCCCAATCCATCTTTATCCCACTTTAAAAATAATGGAGACAGTTCAGCTTTAGAAAAGCTTTATTCTGATATAAAATTCGAATAATTAGAGTCTAGTGACAATAAAAGATGACTTCACTTTTCACAATACGGGTAATGTAAATATTTTGAGACATGGAGACAAACGTAGGTTAAAACGAGCGTACTCTTACCTATGCATAAGCCTTATCTCTGCAGTGGAGCTCTGTATTTTCAATATCAGACAGTAATTGAAACCTATGGTGCAGCTTTTGGAAATGTTTCAAAGAAATATTTGTCTGAAAAATTTTCTTCGTCAAAATGGCTTTATTCCAAAAACTTGGTGGGCCATACTGAATGTGTGAATGCACTTGCATTTTCAGAACGTGGTGGAGAGTTTCTGGTTTCAGGTAATGCAAAGATCAGGCAATCCAGGGACCAGGGTTCATCTTAATTAACTCAATGAAAATATCAATATATAGGCCATCCAATAGGCCATCCAATTCGCTTGTGGTGGATGTTTTATAGTCTGCTGAGTGAATTTCCATGCATGCACATGGGTTGATGGGGAGGAAATCCACTAAAGCCAAGTAGTACTGCTTCGTTAGTAATACACTACATTCCATCTGACAAAATCATCTGACATCAACATTACGTACATAGATCTGACAAAATTGGATTATGTGCACAGACATTTAATACAAAACACATTGCAAAGTGATAACTAGTTCTTCAAAGTGACAGTCTATTACCAAAGTTGTCTTATATACAATGTTATAAACAGTTAAACAAGCTATTTATCCTTAATCATATTTGAGTTAATTAATTATCTTGGTGGTATCAATAATGTCATGTTAATTAAATTATTTAGGTGGTGATGACAGAAGAGTGTTGGTGTGGAATTTACGTGAAGCTGTTACAGGAAATACAACACCAAGGTGCATGAAACAACAGCATCAATCCAACATATTTTGTGTCACTTTTGATCATGATAATAGACAGATCATTTCTGCTGGTGAGTAAAGCTAGTTTTTTTAAACAAATAGTGTATAATTTAAATTTGTATATAGCATTTTGATTAATTGACTTTTCCACAAACCTCTAGCTTTCACTGATGAGTAAAATTATCTGGCAGTAGATAGTATAAAACAATATCAATGACAGACAGGACTTACTAGAAGATGCCAGTAAAACCTTAGTCATTTGATTTAAAAATTAGAACAATATCTTTCATTATTGTTCATTAGATAGTGTAATTGTCTGCTGATAGGCTGAAAATGTACGGATAAATTCAGATATCTGTTGGTGTCTGCCATGTTTTTCAGTGGTTAGGTTGTTATCTGTAAAGGTTATTGGCCTGCGTTCGCGGTTTTGCAGCAGTATTATATACAGACAAAATCCAATGAATAGTAAAACAATTATTTTATTCAACTTTTGCAGGGTATCCAGAATAATTCAGGCCTCGGTCAATGTTATCTATATATAACATTGACCTCAGCCTGAATTATTCTGGATATCCTGCAAAGGTTGAATTCGACTATGTTTCGATTTGTTTATTATTAGGAAAAGAATTGAGAAAGCTTTTTTTTCCATTTTTTACGGATTTTGTGGAGAATTACTATTTTCCTGAATTCTGATCAATTAGCGGAAATAATGCATTGAAAATCCCATAATCACTGGTTATCAATGAGCCATAAAAATTCACCTAATTCTTATAACCAATACGTGATTTCCTTGCTTAAATCTTATGTGTAGGTAATGATGAGATTATTCTATGCCATGACTCTGAAAGGTAAATAGTCAGCTCAATACATGTATTTAGTGTCGGTGTATTAATCTTTTATGCAAAACTATTATTTATATCAGCTAACAACAGGTTTCATTGTATAAAAACAGTATGTGCTATAGCAAGATATGTAAATCATTGCTTCACCCAAAGGTAGTTTCTTTAAAGTATATCCTGATGAATAATATACATTAATAGACCAAAAACTTTGCAAGCAAGCTAATAATTACTGTCTCATTCTGCAATATTGATATATTCTACATTTTGAAATAATTATAAGCATCAAATGTCGTATAACAACTGCCTAAAATAGACAGGAACACTTCTCGACGTTTCGACCTGAGGGCCTTCCTAGGCACCAGTTGTTATACCACAATTGAAACGGTTGTTTGAAGATGCAGCAACGCTGCTCGCTGGTTATATTGACATAATGAAGTCAATAATTTGTTTGATGGGTAAAATGATGGTGATACAGTGGGGTATACTTAGAAAGTGGCCCTGCATGTTTAATATCATAGTATAATTAGTTTTTCAATTATATTGCTCTACTGCCTTTGTGTGTGTTGATGGTTCAAATATTTCCATGTAGTGGTGAGCTGGTGAGGAGTTTTGATGCCGAAGCAAACACAAATGAAATATGTTTCCATCCAGAAGACAATAACATCTTTATTGCTGCAGAGGCAACCTTTGGTGAACTGACTTTGTTTGATATACGAGCACCAACAGGTAATTTTTTTTTCTTTCCTAGAATTAACTGGTATGGACAATATTAATAGACACTTTCTAAGTGCACACAAAACAGTACCATCGAAATGAGG